TATGCCAGCAGGGTTGAGGGCTGTAGGCACCTCTCCCCAGTGGCACATGGTCCTCACCCCCTCACTGCTCGGCCCCATCACTCACAACTCCATACCCTGCCACAGGAACCTGACGTGGACTACAGGGGGTCTTCTCTTCTCTAGGTCTGAAGATCCCGAGATTCTGGGCATCCCCAGATCCAGCCAAGGCTGCTCTCTTAACCTTTTCCACCAAAAGGGCCCTTTTCCTTCCCCTGGCTGGCAGCCTGTCCTAGTTATCTATAGCTGTATAACAAATATCCCCAAATGCTCATGAATCTGCATTTTGGACAGGGCTCAGTGGGATGGCATAACTCTGCTCTGCATTGAATCTGCCAGGACTAGAGTATCCCTGCCAGCATGCCTACTTTATTCACATGGCTGGCAAGCAGGTTCCTTTCCACATGGGCTTCTCCAAGAGGCTACTTGGGTTTTCTCACAGTATGGCAGCTGGGTTCCTAGAACAAGTGTTCCAGGAAACAGGAAGGAGGAACTGCCAATATGTAAGTTCTGAGTCCACAAATGGACACAGGGTCACTTCTGCCAGCAAAGTAATCACAACTCCTGCCTAGACCCAAGGGCAGGGAACATAGACCCTCCCTTCTGATTGGGAGTGGCAAGGAACTTGCCGTCTCTAATCCATTTCAGACCTCCACTGTCTCTGTCCTATGGGCTCTGGCTCTTCTTTTTTTTAACTTATTTTATTTTAAAATAAGTTTATTGATGAAAACTTTATATATTTTACTCCTGATATTTGATGTTACAAACTTTAGGGTCTGAGATATGCAGGATTCTTGTTCGTAACTGGTGTAAGCCCCATCATCTGAGCTCTCTTAATCACTTTTGTGATTTCTTTTTGTTTCTTCCCACAAAGACCTGTCATGTGCCTTCCATGAGTGCATCCAGGAAGTGGAGAAATAAACTGGGACAAACACTGTACATTCTTATAATCTACACTTTTTCCACACAAGATAAACTTTTCAAGAGGCTCCTTATAAGGATTTTCCATTGGAACAGGCAGATCCTCATTGCTGGTTACCTGTTTGTGAACTTCTCCACAGCACCACTCGAATTGCTGGGTTTGGGAGGCTGAGGGCAGCCATAAAGAAGCGCGTGAACTTTTTCCTCCCCAGACCATTGCGACAGCAACCACAGATGCCATAGTCCCTGGGTCCTCGACTCTGGCTCTTCTTTGCCTCACCTCCAGGCCTGCAGATTCTCTCTTGTTCCTATTACCTCCCCTTAGGTTACTGCAGTCCCTCTCAAACTTATCTCCCTGTCTACAGGCTGCATCATCCATTCCCTTTCTGCCACTCTCCAATATTCCTATAGCAGTGTCCTCTCTCTTGCTCTACTCAGAAACCATGCATGGCTCCCTACTTCTCACTGAAAAATTTCCAAGCTCCTAGGTAAAACATTTACATTTGCTCCCCCGCCCCATGTTACCAATGGGATTACCTGCCATTTCCTCCAAGCAACTGGACCACAGTTTGGCCTCTTCTACTCAAAGTGACCACCTATTGGCACTCTGAGCCTGCATACATTCACTCCCTCCACCTGGCAAGTTTCTCTGTCTCCTGTTCTGTTGGACTCCTGCTCAAACTTCAAAGCCCAGTGAAAATGCCCCTCTTCCACAAAGCCTGCTCTTACTACTTGATTACACTCGTCTTATCATTGTACATTGAAGCACATTCTGCCTTAAATCCTTGTTAACAATGACGTGTCCTCTTGAAGTGCTAACCATGTTTCTAACTCACATTTCTTTCACCAATTTAATAACTGTTTATTGAGGCCCAGAGCCAGCTGCCAGGGATACGGCAGTGACCAAGACAAGAGACTTCCTGTGCCCAGACAGCTTACATCCAGATGGTAATACAGATGGCAAACAGAGGAACAAAGAGACACAAACCAAAGATTAAGAGAACTGCTGGAAGGCACGGGAGGCAAGGGGGGCTGGCTGGAGTGGCTCAGTTGGTTGAGTGTCGTCTAGTGAACAGAAAGGTTGCTGTTTGATTCCCAGCCAGGGCACATACCTGGGTTGTGGATTCAATTCCCAGTTGGGGAACATACAGGAGCGTACAGGTGCATATGGGAGGCAACCGATAAACAATTGATGTTTCTCTCTCTCTCTCTCTCTCTCTCTCTCTCTTTCTCCTCCTTCCTCTAAGAATGTGCTGAAGTGAGAATGAAAAAAAAGAGAGAGAGAGAGAGAGAGAGGCAAGGAGGTGCTGTGATGCAGGGGCCCAGAACTCCCTTTTCAAGAGAAACCAGAGACCTGGAGTTTTACATATATTCTCCTAATTTTAAAGGTTGCTCTGCTGCTCTCAGCTTCCCTACCCTCCTGCCTTCCCACCCTCTCTAGCATGCCTACCTCCTCTCTTCCTGGTCACCCCATCAGCACTAGCTTCCCCTTTCCCCCACTCAGCCTGCCCTACCTGCAGCCTCCACCCCTAGGGCACCCAAACTCCACATGGCTCCATGCCCTGGGGGTGCTCTGGGCAGTGGCTGACAGAAGAAAGTAGGGAGCTCACTGCCTAGGACCCTGGGGTCAGTGGGCATTTGGCTAGATGAGACCCTGAGCCAGCTACCCTGAATGTGGGCTCCTAGGGGTGGGACGTCTGGAGTCCCCAGGGCCACAGCAGTGGGAGTCTAATGACCCCACCCCAGGCCCCTCTACCCTCACATCTGGTTATTCATTGGCCTGGAAAAAGTGGAAGGCCAGAGGAACAAGACAGGAAAGAAGGCCAGGGATTTCCTCAGGTTTGTAGCCTAGCTATGACAGGGTCCTAAGGGATGGTCTCCAGGGGACCCCTGGGTCCACCCTGCCATGAAATAATTTATGCTCTCTGTAGCCAGAGTTCCCAGGTGCAAATCCTGTCTCTGTTACTTCCTAGCCTGGCTCCCTTCCCTTCTCTGGCCCTGTTTTCCAATTTGAACACTCAGGATCATAGCAGTGCCCACCTCAAGGGGCAATTTTGAAAACGACGTGTGCCTGGCACATGATGATGTTCAGTGAAGGGCAGTTTTCCACAGTTTTTCCTGTGCAAGTCCCTGCCAGGTCCTCTGGAGGAATTGCTCTGCTGGACAGAATCCCTCCATCTGTTTTCCTAGACCTCTTAGTCTGTGAGCAGTGTCAGCCCAATATAATTATTTGCACTCTGGGCACTGCCTGCTGACAAGGCTCAGGCCTCTGAAGGGCCCAGGGTTCCAGTGATAGTTGTCACATGGGGTAGAGGGTAGGGGAGCAAGGTCATCCCTTCAGCCTCCAGAAGAGTATGGAACAGAAACTGAACCCAGGGGTGCTGCCCTCTGTCTGCACCTACTACTCCTAAACCCTGGGCGAGGGGCATCTTGGTTTACTACTCCCAGGATTCCATCTCAGCCTCATTCTCAAAACCCAGATTATCTTAGGTAGGGGTCCTAGGACAGAGCTCTAGGCAGCCCAGGTGGGGAGGAGGTGTCAGGTCCTGGAGAAGGGTCTGCCAGGGACCAATGTGGGGTTTTGATAATCAGCACTTGGCTGCTTGGGGCCAGAACCTGGTGATGAAAGTCAAAGGGCCAGCCACTGCCTAGGGGAGGAGCCTCCCACCCCCTTCATCAACCAGATTCTTGAGAGCAGAGGGCCTGCTGCTGGCTGTGACACTGACTCCCCTTTTCCCAAGGATCCTATGACATCAGCCCAGCGGGCAGAAGGGCCCCTGCCAGCTCAGCCCTGACACTCAGCGGTGCCTGCTAAGTCCTGCTTCTGATAACCAGCTGTCTGCTGAGCCCCAGCCCTTGGTGCACCCACGTTTGTTTGCCAAGACCGAGTGTCGAGGCTTCCTGGACTCGCCTGCCCTGGAGTAGAGGGAGGCTCTGCAACAGACCAGGTGGCATCTCTGGCTGAGAAGAGACAGAATTCCAAGGGTGCCCACCCTCCATTCAGGCCCACTGCCTCAGCGCCCCTACCTCAGAGCACTCCCCTTGTCCCAGGTGGAGATGGTCCGGTGGGGGTCACTGCGCAAGAGGCAGCGCGGGGAGTAGTGGCGCACAGTGCTAAGGGGAGCGACAGGGTTCCCGCAGGTGGGCACAGCTACAGCTGCGCCCACGGGGCAGAGGCGCACCAGCCTGGTCCTCCTGACTCCGCCTCCGGGGCGGCCGGCTCATTTGCATGGCCCCGCCTCAGCGCACCCATTGGTCGCAGCGGTGGGAGGCCGGGGCTGAGTGGCCGCGGGGCTGTGGGGAGGCGGGGTGGGGCTGTGGAGAACCCAGAGCCCAGGATGCCGCGGCCGCCGCCACCGCTGCGGGACGGGTTCGGGTCCGGGTCCGGGTCGAGCTCCGTGGAAGCAGGGAGCAGGGCGGCCGAGTGTGCGGCGGCTGCAGTGGGGGCGCATTGAGTGCCCACCCACCAGCCATGTCCAGGAAGAAGGCTCCCAAGAGCAAGGGGGCCAGCGCGCCCGCTGCCTCAGTGCTGCTCGCCGCCAACGG